GTGCCAATAGTGGAAGCATAGTGGTGGAACCGTATCGACGACGAAATTGTCAGCAGTTTATACAGTAAATAGTACAGCGTTTAATGTACGATATATATATATATTTATATCTAAATGACATGCCAGCGAGGATCAACAATATAATTATTCGTACATATTTGGGTATCTTTTGTATACCTTCGCTTGCTGACTTGCTCACTAATGAGAATAATCCGTGAAGCCACGACGACCTCAAAATGTACTATACTATAATCTGATGTCAATCCGAAGACGAAGTTCAGAATACTGTTATAGTTTCGTATACTGGATTTAAGCGATAGATTCAAGTCATTTATGATAGACGTTTTGCTGTGATGCTTTGCTATTGCTTTTGGTTTCCATTTCTAGTTTTATTTGTTCGATAGTCTTATAATATATAATATTAAAATGAATAAAGTTCAAATTCTTCAAAATGCTGTTGTTGACATTTGCTATTTTCAGTAATTTTGTCAACGAGTGTAAGCCAATCAGAAGCCTGCGTTTCTATACGAACGCCACTACCAAGAAAACCTATAGTTCCGTGCAGGCCCTCTATTCTTCGCGCCGCCCGTAACCCAGGGCCTGTTCGCAGGCTAGAGGACAATCTGTTTATTAATCTAGCTCATGATGTTTTACCCTGGTGAATATGATTCAACCATATATGATAAAAAAATATATATTATGTGTTACTAATTTGCAGTGTACCATTTGTCCTACGGTTTATTCTCTCTAAAACCTAACCCTAATTTACCCTAACCCTAACCCATGGCCCGTGTTCATGCAGCGAAATGATTTAAACACAGGGCTTTTTGTCTGTGTGGGGAGGGCATCTACAAAAGGGACCACACTATTGATAACAGATGCATTTGTTGTTGGTGACAAAAGTTTGGAGCGGTTTTTTTGTGTACTAGTAAGGGAGTCTAGGGGTATTTTTCACCAAGAAAATGTTTTCTATTTTTCCACCCCTAGGACTATAATGTAAGTGTCTTCTGAAACAGATTTTTTGATATGGCTACAGCGTTACATTATGTTGTAGATAAACCGAATCTTCAGTTAAATACTTGGATGGTATGTTTATGTAAATACCACAACTGGGTCACTCAGGGGGTAGGAATCTTGCTAAACTTATCAGTGAAATTTTTAAAATTTTTAGTTTTTAGATCTTTGGAAATTGCGTTTTCAGAGTCTTCTTTACCTCTTTGGCATTATGTTTTGCGAGTCGATGCTATTTGTATGTATAGAAGTCAGAACACTAGACATGTTATTCAAGAAATAAAAACGTTTTAACCCTCCCCCCTTTCTCTAGGTTAAAATCCCCCCCATATTTATAAGGGTAAAACTTCGTTCGCACCCCCCTCCTTTCATTTACCAAACCCTTATTTAATAAATTTAATTTAAACATTTAATAAATTATGACAACTCCCTGTTGCAAAACATGTCGTGAGTGCATCTTGTTGATTTTGAATTCAAGCCTGGAGCGGATAATGGTGACATTTTTGTTGCTTTTGTAATCGTGGTAATAATATATAAGTTCCAAAAGTTTGTTAATACAGGAGAACAAGCTTGTGTCTCGACGATCATCAAACATGTGTGTTTTTGTTGCCCTTAGGAATAGGGATTTTGACTGCTAATTTGAATGAATTTGGAATCTTTTCCCTGTCGATAATACGCGTGTAAAAATTTGATAATTCATGTATGAACGCTTCTGCACCATATTTTAGGTGGTCATGCGTGATTCTATCAAACCCGGGTGCTTTTACATTTGGTAAATAGGCGTCTACCATGATAAAGTCTATTCAGCATATTCGGTCATTTATAAGGCTTTTGACACTACCTGGATCAATGGAATGCTTTAGAAGTTATATTACACCAAATCTAGGGGTAACTGGTAAACCTTTGCGGTTCATACAAAATTGGTACTTGGACATGAAAGAATTTGTTTTGGTTGAAGTAAAATCATCACGTGTACAGTATATGAGCTAGGGCAAGGTGCAAGAAAGATGGGGTTCTGTCACCATGGCTTTTTTGTGTTCATGGACGATAGAGGAACTGAGGAACACTAAGGCTGGATTTTATATTAATTAATATACCGTGCATTTTGGATCACCTATGTTCGCGGACGATCTAACCATGCTAGCACGCATGAAATGTGGACTTGATAAAATGTTAGGACTTGCTTCCGAATATAGTAAAAACAACCTCGTACCCAGGCTCTTTCCACTACGCGCCTCGCTGGAGGAAAGACCCTGGTCCAGGCTGGTCACGTGTCTCCCAGATTTTAGGAGATAACAAAATTTTTACATTGGGGTGGGGAGCTAAGTTTGTTTTACCGATCTGGTTGCCAATATCAATTCGCATATAAAGTTCAGAGTGTGTGTTTTAAAAAATACATGTAATTTTAATAAATAGCAAGAGCTTGATGTGAGATGTCTTTGTATATGTATTCTTATGGGGATTGCATTTGCGACGTCTCTACGCAAGATCTACATACTGGAGTCTTTCAGTTTCAAATTGGGAAAATCGCAATGAAGTACTAGGAAAGGATTTGTAATATACTCAAGGACAAGCAAAGAACATTTGCTTAGCAGCCAAAAGCGAGTCTATTACTGAAAGTGCCGTAAATTGTAATCATAAGTGGAACGCCTCGATAACACGACGCATGAATATAGGAATAACAGTACAGTAAGAAAATATATTATATAGTGTGCACAAGAGTATCGATAGTATGTCTATGGAGTTTTAGTGCATATTCCCTTTCCTCTTGTTTCAATAAGACAGTACTCAGGGGATTATATATAGATATACTATAGGGCCTAATATTTCGAAATATACTTTTATAAATAATTCTTCATGCACACATGTTTTTAATAAACAGTCTCAGCTTGGCGTTCATACGTTACAAGACAAACGGCGAGCAAAGGAAAAAATAAGCTATATAAGGCAATAGAGAGTAAAAATTGCTATTTTATAACTGTATGTATAATGATTCTTTTGATATAAGAAAGAAAATATGAAACGAAGACGTTGAAGTGAAAATGCTGCAAATTTGACTAAGCCGTTTGACTCTTCATATGAACAAACATCCAGACCAGGTGTTGTGAGATAAATTTCGTTAACTTAAATTTGACTGCGAACTTTAGAAATATATTGGGCCTTACTTTTATGTCTTATCTGTCGTAACATGCTAAAAGTTTTAAAAGAAATTCTAAAAAAAAATTATAAAGCTTTCACTCAGCAAAAGCAAGAGCACAGTATACAATTTTATGTAAACATTGATCATATTTCACTGGGGTAACAATCGATTGCAAATAAATACGTTCCTATAAATACTCAAAATATGGGATTTATTAGAGAGAATATCGAAACAAAATTAGAAAATCGACCACACAGACACAGTACTTTACACCAACAGCGGTTACTTTATAATCGCTCACAAATATCAATTATTATCCAATCATGATTCTGGTTAAACAAATGTTCTGCCGAATACAACACTCAACAGCAATTTTCTGAGGATTCTGCCATTTCTTGTTGATATGTAGAACTAAACCCGAGATTGTGTTGTTGAGTGAGCTCCGATAACATCATGCATCCGTCGTCTATTACAGTAACGTTTTAAGAGTATAATTTCAAACGTCCAGCGAGGCCTTATTAACAACTTCGTCCCTTCAATAACCGTTATGACGTATTTTATGCATGAAAAATACATGCCAATAAAAACTTCGTTTCATGATAGACCTTTGTGTTGCTTTATTCACACTCCTTGTATTGTTTTGAACTCGAACGCCACATTTGCCTTCCCTACCCCCCATAAGTCTCAATTGTTATCTCCAAAAATCTGGAAGACACATGAGCAGCCTGGACCAGGGTCTTTCCTCCAGCGAGGCGCGTAGTGGAAAGAGCCTTGGTACGAGGTTGTAGTAAAAAGTGGAGATTTACAATTAATGCAACGAAAACGGTAATCTTAACGTTTGGTGAAAGCTATTGGGGATGTAGTGGAAATCACGTATTGGAGATTGGCAACTTGAATCACGGATTTTAGAAAAAGAAACTTGCATGGATCAATCATGGAAAAATATGGCATATAAACAAATATTCAAAAGCTATTACAAGAGGCAGAAAATTGGTGCTCCATATGGAGGATTGAATCCTATAATCTCAGTTGAGTTGTGGAAGCGGATTGGTATATATCCCAAATTAATATTTGTACGGGTTGTGAGCTCTGGCAGCTTAATCGCCATGACATAATCGAACTGGACAAAGTGCAAAATATTACGTTGTGTATTGTGCAGGGGCTGTTACGCCACCTGGAATATCTGGGCCTGACGCTCGAGAGTTGTTGGGCTTGTTAGCAATTGAGGCTGAAGTCGATAAACGCAAATTGCATTTTCTGGGACGGCTTATACAAATGAGTCCTGGTGTTTCGTGCCGAAGGATTTTCCTCATGAGGTTGATACCTAACGATGGAACACCTTGAAAGGATTTATTCTGGATCTTATGGTATATACGAGTACTACAACAATCTTTAGCAAGAAAAAAAAGTACACATGGTCAACTGAAGATTTATGCAAAAAATTTATCCTGTGAATGAAATTTCACCAGTGTGGTTATTAGCTAAAACGAATCGGATTATCTCAAACAAATTAATGATGTTCAAAGATTACTTTGTGGGTTTTTCAAAATTAAAGGAAAATGAGTGAACAAACCAGAAACTTATAGAGACTATTATGATGTTTGTAGTAGCAATTGCATGAATCCTGTAATGAATGCATTTACTGTATTGTAATGGCAGAAGCCAAAAATAATCAAGAGAGGAACTATGGGTCCGGAATAAATAAACGATATTGTATATGCCAATTGAAATGGCAATACACCTAGCAAGTTTAACCGGCAACGAATTAGTTCTATTATTGGTAAAAACTTGAAGTAGAGGCCTTAAAATTAGAGACCTTACGATTTACGTATTTTTGTGAAAATTAACCTGAAACCACTAACCACTTTATATCACGTGACCAGAAGCTCGAGGCCGTCGAGTTTGGCGAGGTTTGACCGCAATTCACGGCGCACACCGAAGGAAACACGACTTTGCCGAGTATAAATATTGTATTTCAGAAATCAGATTATCAGAATGAACAATATATATTTTTGCGAGACTATAAACGGCGAAAGGGCAGCATTTTTAAAAATTTTCAGAAGGTTTGGAAGCAATACAATGGGAAAGCTATCATTGTATTCCCGAAGACGTATCGTGTCCCTCTCGTCGGAAAAAAATACGACTCGCATAACAAAAATTTTAGCCGAGGAAGGCATCAATGTTTCACGGACATCTGTGAGTAAATTTCTCAAACGCTACCGTAAGAGCGGTAGTCTTTTTGATGCCCCACGATCTGGACGAAATCTAAACTGTATCAGCAGCATCTTACATTTATAGACGAAAACATGAAAGCGAATGACGATTTAACCTCAGAGCAATTAGGAAAATTAATATCGAAGGAATGTGGCCTTAATATATCATCCTCAACAACACGTCGTGTTAGACGTGAAAAACTAGGATGGAAACACGAAAATACTAGGAATTGCCAGTTTGTTCGTGAGCCGAACAAGGTTAAAAGGCTAGCATTTTGCCTTGACGCCTTAGCGAGAAAGGATACGTTCGAAGACGTTATTTTTAAAAACGAAACAACCGTCCAAATCGAGCAATACGCCAGAGTGTCGTTTGGAAAAGATGGTACCCAAGCCAAGCGAAAAGGACGCCCGAAACATCCGTTGAAGGTTTGTAAACATATCCTCTTGGAGATAACATGTGCAAATAGAATCCCTTCCTTAGTTCCCTTGAGTTCTCAAGCAGGTGTGAGTGTGAGAAGTGACAGCACAGAGAAGAGATTTACAGAGAGGAAACAGACACCTCGATAACCTGAATTTTTGTGTCACGCGTTCCACGTCGGCCATGCAAAATCTTCCAGCCACAGTGCCGCTGCTGAAATTGCATAGTAAAAGTTAGGAAAAAGGCGTTCGAAAGATGAAAATCGCTTTTTTTTTAAAAATGAGATACCCATGGAAGTTTTGTTCAATAAATTATTGTACAATAACGGTAAGCGATCACTTTTATTGATTTATTTTTATTAAAAGTGTTAACATAACATTTTATTTTGCAAAAGTTTGCTTTTTCCCAATCTACTCCTTATTAAAATCGTGAAAAGCACTGGCTGGGAGTTTCAGATGGCAAAGCAGCAAATTATATAAATTCCTCAAAATATAACTCTCACATAAAAAAAAACATGAATATACTTCTATAATACGTATAGTTTTTTCCTCTGCATGGTCAAAATTTAATAAAATAGTGAATTAATATAATTTTCAATAGTGAGTAGACTGAATATATCGGCGTGACACAATTTGCCGCGTGTTTCCTTTCTGTTATACTATCTCTTCTCTGTCGATCGTGACAGTGTGTGTAGGCGGTCTAACCTTGCTACGAAGTAAGAATGTATGGTTTTCCCAGTACCCTAAAGGCCGTTTTCCACTTCAAGGGTACCGTACCGTAACGTATCAAAAACGTTTTTAAATTTCAAAATTTCGTTAATGTTGATTGGTTAGTACTTCCGTAGTACGCCAAAAAGTTTACTTGCGACAAACTTTTTATTTTGATACGCGAATGCAACCGGAACTACGTGGTTTATAAATCTCTTTTCAATCCGCGCATGCTCACCAGTACGCTTCGCTACGATACGGGCGAAGTGGAAAACCGGCTTAACCCTGCATAAAACGTAGAACCTTCATTTAGACCCCAGCGTGATTGAACTGGTTTCTCTCCCCCCCCC